AATAATAATAATAATAATAATAATAATAATAATAATAATAATAATAATAATAATAATTAATAATAATAATAATAATAATAATAATAATAATAATAATAATAATAATAATAATAATAATAATAATAATAATAATAATAATAATAATAATAATAATAATAATAATAATAATAATAATAATAATAATAATAATAATAATGATAATAATAATAATAACAATAATAATAATAATTCATTTGAGTGGAAAAGTTATGATTATGATAGTTTTGAAAATTGGAAATTAAGTTTTTCGCTAATAATACAATTGATTAACAATTGGTTAGCCATAATAATCGATTTTACTAATTGTAGAGGTTAAATTTAACTGATAAAACTTTCATTTTGTTTCATTGAATTTCAAAATTATCTGACTAATCGATTTTTTTAATTTAATTATAAAATTAACACTAAAATAACAATGATATTGATAAAAGTAAACAAATAATGTAAATTTATTCTTTTTTTTAAGCAAACAAATAATGCAACACCTTAGAATGGTATCCAATTTACCACCATAAAGTAATCCTGGATTATTGAGAAGTTCACTCCAAGATTTCTCGATTTTTCGATCACCTTCATTGCTTTCATAAAAAGACATTTGATCAGGGAAGAGTGAATAATAGAATAATCCAACCGCGGATGCATATTCATTTAATGCTGTTGCATCTATTTTCTATAATATAATTGTAATTAATAACTTATTATTAAACATTATCTATATGTTTTTCTTTTCTTTTCTTTTTTGTAATTCAGTTAATCAATAATTTATTATTAAATATTATTTACAATCAAAAATATATTATTATATGATGTGAGGTTAATTTAAAAATGGGAAAAAGAAGTAAATTTTAAAATTTGAGAAATTGTAGAATTTATTAAAAATATTTGTAAATTTAATTTACCAAATCATAATCACTATCATAATCATTATATTGTAATTTAATGCCATACTGTCGTAATTTATTTTTGCCAACAATAATTGGTAAAAATTCATTGTAAGTAATATGTTGAATTTGTGCAATAACAATTCGACGTGATTCTTGAAATAATTTCTCATCATCCCAATCAATGTTTATAGACTAAAATTTATAATTAAAAAAAAAAAAAGGATAAAACAATAAATGATATTTTAATTGAAATTAACATTTAAAATGATGCCAAGAAAAAAAAAAAAAAAAAGGATTGAGATTAGAAATAAAAATAATTCGGCAAAAATATTTTGATTAATTAAATAATTAAATTCTGATTAACTTTTTAACAATATTATGTTATTATTTTAAGATTGTAAATTAGTAAAAAAAAATAATCAAATTTAATTTCAAATTAATTTATCAAATACTATCATTGCTTTCTTTTCCTATTAAAATTAATTAATCATTTTATATATTTCATTTTTTTTAAGCCCTTTAATTTTTTTTCTTTTTTTTAAATAAAATATTGCTAACTTTTAATTGTTTAGCAATATTATTGTGTTGACGCAACCAAATTGTATGTAATGCAGTTTGTGTGGGAAATAAATTTGTAAATTCACCACCCGACAAGAAACATCGTTGTGAACTTCGATTACTCGTACATGTACCATCATTTGTATTTCTTAATAAACTATGATAACGTGAATTTTGTTGTGTTAGTAAAAAACCTGAAATTATTATTTTTATTTAGAAAAAAGAAAAATTACATATTTTTCTTTTTTATTACAATTTTAATCTCTTCCCTCCTCCCTCCAAAAATAAAAAAAAAAAAAAACAATTATTATATTCATGTAAACATTTAAATATATTAATGATAATTAGCTTAATATATATATACACCTCAATTTTAATTATTTAACTTAATTAAATTTTTATTTAGCTTAATGTTAAGAAGATTTTTTTATGTATGTTTAGAAAAAATAAATAAATAAATAAAACAATTTATTTAAATTTATGCTATATTTTCACAATTTTTTGTTGCATATATTTCATTAAAAATATAATCGAAATAATAAATAATTAATTATCACAAACCATTTCGATATGCACGAAGTTTATTAACACGTTCCATATTACTACCATATATATGACTAGCATCCAAATATGATGTCACTTGATTAATTTGCTCCCGTGGACCAAGTGAACAATTTTCTCGTGGTAATGTTGCTGTTCGTACATATGGTAAGCATTGTGTTAATTCTGTAACAATTAATTGAAATTGTTCAAAATTTTTCAAAAAATAACAATAATAAAAAAGAAAAAAAGGTTAAAATTTCATAGAATCATTCAGGAATAGATCAAATAGACAAATAATATTTAGTAAAAATTAAAAATTTAAATTCTAAAATATGCAAATAGTGCTAATATTGTTTATTAAAATAAGCCTTCAAGAATATTTTATTTTTTCCTTTAATTACATTTAAAAATTACTTGAATAAGTTGTATCATTTTCATTCACTTCAATTGGATAACAATCTGGATGAATGTATTTCTTGTTACAGCATAATAATGATTTTGATTTATCACCTAAAATTTTATCAGGAAGAAAAAAAAAACATGTTAATTTTTTTCGGAAAATTTTTTTTTTTTTGATTTTTGAAAAAATTTTATTGTAAGTAAAAATATTTATATTGAATGAATGGCCATAAAATTTTTTTGCTTTTTTATTTTTTTTGAAAAATTCATTGCTTCCATTTTTTGCCTTAAAATATTTTCAAATAAAATATTGAAAAAAAAAGAAGAAAAATTAAGTTAAAATTAGTATTACATATAACGAATTTTTCGAGTAATTATTAAAATTTGGTTTTTAAGTTTAATAAAATTTGACGTTGCATTTTAATTGAACTGCTATTATTATATTTGTTAAAAATTTTTTGTATTTTTTCATTTCTAAAATTTTTTCCTTTTTATCATTTTGATTAATTAATGATACCTTCATAAAGAGTGGTAATACCAGTATGACTGATATCTTCATGGATAAACATTGCCCATTGTGCAATCATCATTGAACATAAGGTATGTCGATCAGTTGGTTCACTGATAATATTATGTGATATTTGTCGCGCATTTGGAAGTGTTAAACCATTAATTGAAATACGTGGTTTTGAAATTTCTATAATAAAATAATTGCAAATTAATAAAATATAATAAAGTGGTTATTAATTTTAGGATTTTTTTTTTTGTTTTAATAAATTTATTGTATGATTTCTTTTGAATAGTTTAAATTTCGAAAAATATAATTTAGATAGTAAAATAAAATAAAATACATTTTTTGATTAAAATATTGCATAAATTGTGGAATGATAATGAAATGAATTCATTAATGATATCAAATATTTTGATAAATCAGTTAGTGATATTATCATTGAAAAAGATTTAATGAAATTATTTTATGATTGCTTACTGTTAGCATAAGTTGGCTTCAGGAAACGTTGCATTGGTTCAGATGATGCACCCCATAATGGATTATTAACATTATTACAATGTCCAGAATATGTACGATATTCACTTATTGGACATTCTGTGATCAAATTTACTGGACATATGCTACTTATTACCGTATCACTAAGATCCATTGTTGGTAATCCATAAAAAATTTGTTCTGATGTAAGACCAGAACTAAAATTATTGTTCGGTTAATGAAAAGATCATCTAATTAATGCAATAAAATGTAAGAATTTTTATTTCATCAAAGATTTAAATTAATTAAATGTAAATATTTAAAATCAAAAATGAAATTTAAAAATAAATATTAAATGATGCATACTTGTATAATTTTTCGGTTGCAGCAATGGAAATTTGTGATGAATAAGAAAGTTTTTTAGCATAACGATCAATTTTATTTATCATATTCCATGTTATCTCCGATGGTTCACCATCAAAAGCTACAATTTTAAATTAAATAATTCATTTAAATATCATTGAATATTGAATATTTAAATGAATTTTACAAAGTATATTATGATAAGCCTCGATTCTTGACACTATGCTATATGATAATGCAAATTATTTTTTATCAAATTTCTCCATATTATTGTTATCTCATTTGATCATTGCTTCAGTATTTGATTAAATTCAATTAAAAAATTAGCAATTATTTTCAAATTTTGATTCGGAAAAAAAAGCTGAAACAAGATTTATTTAATCAAAAAGCCAAAAATTGATTTCAAATTTTGATTTGAAAGAAAAAAGTAGCATATTTTCCTCTTATTTGTTGGAAATTATACCATTTATGCTTTTGAAAATGTTAATTTCAGTTTGATTGAAGAGTATATCAATTTCATCCTTTGCTTCCTTCATAGCATTGATAATACTTTGACGACTGATTAATTTCTTGATATCAGTGTAACGTCCTTTAATTTTGGATGAATGTCGTTGTGGTTGTGTTTCGTCTTCATCTGCAATTAATCAACAATTAACCGACATTAATTAATTGATTAATTAACTAAATTTTTAATTTAAATTTGAATTTACTGTGAAAATTTGATCAACAAATAATCGATTAGCGGATGAAATTTTCCACACGTTATAACTTTTTCGAAACCAAGAAAAAAAGGAAAAATAAATAAATAACTTTCAATTTCTATATCAATATTTTTTTCAGAATTATTGCTATTGATTATTGATTGGATGCTTATCATATCATAAATAAAATGATGGGATCAAGTCTTGTACCACTGTATACTGGAAATATACAGTACTTAAAATATAAACCAATTAATTGATTTTTAGATGTTTATATTTAGATGTTTATATTTATAGATGTTTATATTACGGTATGAATTATGATATGTTTATATTACGGTATGAATTAAAATTGCTAAACATTTATTCGTACAAAATGATTTAAAAAATGAGTGAAAAAATTTCATACGAAATAATTATATTCATATTTTTATCGACTTGTTTTTTTTTTCTTCTTCAATATTATTGCTAATATTTTTGATAATATTTTAAATGATTAAAAAAGCCAAAAAAAAAAAAAATCCATCAAAAAGAATTAAATTTCTTTTATTAGTTTAAGTGATTTTTTTCAACTTTGAAAATTATTTTAATGAAGAAAAAGAAAAATTGAAAAAAAATGAATAATGCAAAAAATCTTACTGACGATATTTGATGGTAGGCCAAATGCAAGTGCTGTACGTGAACATGGCGTAAAACTTGCACCACACGGAATATTACTACGACGTTGTCGTGCATGAATATCATTACCATTAATAACAATCATATTATTCAATAATAAATATGATAAGATAAATAATAGTATCATTTTAGGTTAGTTAATTTTAGGTTTTATATTCCTGAAAGGTTAATTAATGATTTATGAATTATGAATATATTAAAATTGCATAATATTCTCGTAAAAATCATTTTTTTTTTTTTTCATTTTTATTAACACCATCATTTCTCATTTGACAAGGATAGTGTTGCATGTTAGAAAGAATGATGAATAACCTTGATGATATATTGCTACGACAGAATATTGTAATCAATTTTTTTTTTTTCTTTTAGATTTTAAAAAAAAAAATATTTTTGTAAAGTATAAAATTAAATGGGAAAAAATGGGCTTATTGTAGCAGTAATTAGCAATACAACATTTATTGGAATGTCATTGTTGTATGAAATCTGATGCTTATTGTAGCAGCAATTAGTAATACATAATTTACTACGACGTTGCTCAAACTATTTAGAATTATGGTTGAAATCAATCAATCATATGATAGATATATTTTTGCATCATCAAAAGTGATGATTAGTAATAATATTTCATTTAATAATGTTGATAATTATAACAATAATATATAATTAATAATGATAATAACAAAAATAATAGTAATAATAATTATAACAATAAAAAGAAAGAAAGAATAATAAATAATATTAGGTAAAAATTCGAGAAATTAATTCAGCAATTACTTTTGTAAATAAATCAGTTAACAAGTTTTTAAATGAAAGTTTAAATTATTTATTTACAGCACTATTAAATTGTCAAAATAATAAATTAAAATATAAATAGACATTAAAAAGTCAATAAAATAATTCTTTTTTT